ATTACAAGAACTGCCCCAAACATACAAAAATCTGTTTCCCTGCCCGATCGGGTTGCCCTACGTGCCGCTTATACAAACCAATATTATCTATCTAAAAGACAGTTCATGCCCTACGTGCCGCTTATACAAACCAATATTATCTATCTAAAAGACAGTTCATGCCCTACGTGCCGCTTATACAAACCAATATTATCTATCTAAAAGACAGTTCATGCCCTACGTGTCGCTTGAAGACCGAAAAAATTACAAGAACTGCCCCAAACATCAAAAAAATCTGTTTCCCTGCCCGATCGGGTTGCCCTACGTGCCGCTTACAGACCGACAGTAACTATTCAAAAATAAAGTTTATTCCCTACGTGCCGCTTGAAGACCGTTTAAAAATTAGAAGAACTGCCCCAAACATCAAAAAAATCTGTTTCCCTGCCCGATCGGGTTGCCCTACGTGCCGCTTACAGACCGACAGTAACTATTCAAAAATAAAGTTTATTCCCTACGTGCCGCTTGAAGACCGTTTAAAAATTATAAGACCTGCCCCAAACATACAAAAATCTGTTTCCCTGCCCGATCGGGTTGCCCTACGTGCCGCTTGCCGCTTACAGACCGATAGTAACTATTCAAAAATAAAGTTTATTCCCTACGTGCCGCTTGAAGACCGTTTAAAAATTATAAGACCTGCCCCAAACATACAAAAATCTGTTTCCCTGCCCGATCGGGTTGCCCTACGTGCCGCTTACAGACCGATAGTAACTATTCAAAAATAAAGTTTATTCCCTACGTGCCGCTTGAAGACCGTTTAAAAATTAGAAGAACTGCCCCAAACATACAAAAATCTGTTTCCCTGCCCGATCGGGTTGCCCTACGTGCCGCTTATACAAACCAATATTATCTATCTAAAAGACAGTTCATGCCCTACGTGCCGCTTATACAAACCAATATTATCTATCTAAAAGACAGTTCATGCCCTACGTGCCGCTTGAAGACCGTTTAAAAATTACAAGAACTGCCCCAAACATACAAAAATCTGTTTCCCTGCCCGATCGGGTTGCCCTACGTGCCGCTTACAGACCGATAGTAACTATTTAAAAATAAAGTTTATTCCCTACGTGCCGCTTGATAACCGTTTAAAAATTATAAGAACAGCCCCAACATGCAAAAATCTGTTTCTCTGCTCGATCGGGTTTCAACAGACTTTTGTATACCAAAACGGTGACAAGTTTTCCTCTCTTGCACAGCAAACCTGCAGAGAATACAGGGCCTAAATATCACTCATCTCAGATTTCAGTAAAATAAAAACAAATTTCTTCACTCATCTTTCGTTTGTTTTGTTAGTTCTTTCAGACGTTCCGTTACATCTGCTCATTTGTATCTGCTATTTGTACCTACAGGCGGATGTCATATTTGGAGTAAAATCTCTCTCACTGAGTGTTTTCAAGATACTAAACACCTCACACAGAAGAGTCGAATTTGTAATGAACTCAATTTTAGCTCAGATGTTACCGGGAATACGCTTGGCAAATTTCTACCTCAAAATTCCCCTCTCCATAGAAAATAAATTTTCGGCGATAACAATCTTATTAAAAGCAAATGTCAAAGAACATAGAAGCACAAGAGAATGATGATCCACTGCGAAAGCACTTCCGGTCAGATTAGATTCCCCTCTCCTTAGAAACCAAATCATCGGCGATGACAATCTCTTATTAAGATATTCTCGAATGAGAAGAATCCAGAACAACAGTTACTGGAAGAAATTCTAGAATGAACGTGGAAATTAGAACAGTTCCTAGGATGGTCAAAACTGCAGACGTGAAAAATAATGACGATATCGATCGAAAACACGCCCGAAACATGCCGTTATGCATGTGTGTTGTTTCAGTTGCCCATACTTACGAAATTTGGCACCGTTCCAAAGGCTTACGAAAATCTGGCATCGTGCCAACTGACTTACTCACCGCTAATGGCAGCAATCCAATTCCAAAGATCAGTGTATTTCATCATAATTTTTACGCCTGCGCCCTCCTCGTTTGCCATAATCCAACTATAAGAGGGTTAATGGGTAAACAACGAATTCGTTATATATTACGTAGTGATCATTTGCCGAACGATTACCTGAAAGGAGTTCTATGGACCTATTCATCGACGAACCCTAAGGGTAAATGCCCTTGAGGGGAAGTTTCACCACAGAAAGCATAAAATCCGTATTCACGAAGCAAAGGGTAGGCTGGTTTGAACCTATCCTTGAGGAGGGTCATCAACAACTTGGAGGGTAAACCCTAAAGGCATTGTCCAGGTCAACTCACTTTTGGCTGGATTTTGACGCACTGTGGCAACATGGCTTCTGACTAATGCAACAGTTCAAGTCCGATTGGAAAAGGTGATTCTGAAGCGAGAAGCTCAAAAAAAGGGGTGGTCTGCTAATCCCGCCTCCTTGACAAGTTTTGACGTGATAGATGGCACATTGTAGGGTTACTGTAGGGGGTATGTAGAGAGCCGCTCTGATTACTTTGGTTTTAAAATTAGCTCAAGGTAGAATACCGTTCACAGAATGAGCAATGTGCTCCTTGAACGTCGTGGAATTCCGGGAATTCCGCTGAATCACGGGAATCAAAATACGCAGCGCCATAACTTCCTTCGGGATGAATATAATCTGTATCCGGAAGCAGCACTGTGTTAGCTCGTCAATGCAAATCTTTTGATGTACAGCATGCGCTGGATATTCCATTTCCAGTTTCCTCGAATTCTTCTGCGGAGGTCCTTTCGCATGTAACGCAGCGCCTGTCCATAAATACGCGCCCTCACGGGTCTTGTCCAAAATGCAAAGGTCGCATACTTCGTCGAAATCCCATCGTGAGTGCTTGTATAACACGGTGATCAAATCTTTTCACACTTAATGAATCTTGTTGCCTTGAATTTAGTAGCTAGATAGATCTGACCTTTAGCCACGAAGCTGATTTGACATTCAATTAAGCAACTGAAGCACACACAACCACCATATTCAATACGCTGGGATCCCTTGGGCGAAGTGAACATAATAATTGCAGCCAGACTTCATACAACCACTCACGGCCGAATTTCGACGAGCCATCTTTACATTTTGAACAAAATTCATGAGGGCTATGCCTTCGATCGTGCTATCACTTACATCGCCGCCGGTTTCACCCAGAACAAAACCTATGGCGTTATGTGTCCATTTCTGAACCCAATGCGCGATACATTTGAAGGAACCCTTAGCAGCATTTTTTGAATAACTATTACTCAAACCCCAAACCTTTGGTAAAAGTTAGAGAGCGCACGAACGTGGAAGGTTATCCATGTAAGAAAGGAAACTAGTCAAAACGTTGTAGAACATGGTATACAGAGGTTCTGGACGTGCTGGTTACAAATATGATAATCGCTAAGTGGAGTTGATTTTCCGCTTAAAGGCAGCGTCCAGGCAGGATCCTCCCACATCAGCACGTACTTGTAAAGCGGGCCCTATGAGTATCCGAATCTGCGTTGGTCCGATCCTTTGGCTGGCCTCTAAAAGGACATATCGGCCTGTGATACGTATCACAAACCTTTATTTCTTTGGATATGTGCGCTGAAACTTCGGCATTGGCATTCTTTGCTACAAGCGAGCTCAAATTGTTTGATTTTGGTAGCGAATAGAAGAAAACTAAATTTTTTTTTCTCAACTACTGGAATTTGGAGATCCACTGAATCTATGTATATATAAAACTCAAAAATTGTCAGTTTGGAGGGTATGTGCGTTATGGAAACGCGCACCGCTCAACCGATTCAGCTGAAACTTTGCACACATATGTTTTCGACCCCTGCGCAGATGATAGGCTACTTTTCGCAGCGATTCGTTGAGTCCTTCTATCGATTTATTGTGTTTGCGTTTTTCTAAGGAATTGAGGGCTTATCATGTTTAATCAAGCATTTTACCATAGTCTGTAAAGGAGGGCGGTGAAGCTCATTTTCACCTCAGGATCACGAGGATGCGGTTTCGAAGCGGGTTCCAGGGTAAGTCATTCACAACATATAAGAAGGGGGGGGGGCTTGCAGTGCAGGTGACCAATGACCCGGGCTGGACCGGGAAAGCCAACTAGTTATAGGTAAAGATGAAGCCGTTCGCAGCCTAAACTTATCAAATAGAACAGAACTCTCTGAGCTTTGTAAAAAAAATGGTAGTAGTTGGGAACTTTTCGAGATCTGGCGCCCTTGGAAAGTTGAACAGTGCAGCTGTACGCAGAATTGATGCTAATATCCATTAATAACTAGTGAAGAAAGCTCAGAATTTGCCAGGACTTTGCATTATAAGGTAATTCTACTTGCTGAATACGACTATCATATTCATTTGTCGTCAAACTAGAAATTTTTTGCAAGCTTACCAAAGAATACATTGTCTTGCAAGATGAAAACGACTTTTGTAATCAGCGAGTAGTGAAACGCCTAGACAAAGTTTTAGCTGAGAGTGTGAGAATCTGGAACGTTCTGTGAGTTTTTTTTCTTTTTGCCGTACACCTACCGTAACCTCTACGCGGGTTGCAAGAATTTGGAGCAAATTGCTGTAATTGTAGAACACATGAACAATCTCAAAGTTTGACTGTACCACATGCGAATAGGGAAAAGTTATGGAAAAAGTGGCAAAACTTAGCTAACGCAATATTTTTGGCAATGTGGTGGCAGAGATTCTTCGAAGAAGTGGGAGTAAGCAGTGAGCTCCATCATGACATAGAAAGGGCCGAGCGGAGCTCTGTACTCTAGCTAATATGGCTAGTTGAATGTTTATGGGAAACTGCTTTTTCCAAAACCCGTTAAACGTGACCAAACAGCATAAGTAAATCTTCTTATTTTCAGCTTGTACCTAACAATAGCCCTATGATTTCCCATATTTTTGCAACTGTTCAGTGACCTCCTGTATTTGTCGACTTCAAAATGGTAGAACTTCCCAAAACACCAGTAAGAGATGTTCGAAAGCTGTTCCAAAGCATTGTGCAGAATTACAAATCAGAAAAAGTGCTACGTCAAAGTTTATGCACAGCAGCGAAGAAATTGCAAGACTTGGTGAAGGTGCTGGTGCTATCGCAATGCATCTTTCATTTCTTCCGTGGCTCTGCTTGCTTTAATAGTCCTCGATCAAGCAAATAGTAGTATCTCTTGAGGGCTTCTCCTATTATATCTGCGGGAGATCGAGTGGTCCTCTTTTGTCCAGGTGATCCCAGTGGAAATAGAGGTTTAAGTTGTAAAGCTTCTGAAACAATCCAGCATTATCGCAACATCATCATTTTTTAAAAAAGCTCACCAGTAAAGATGAACACAGTCATAAGGGCCTAAAATTATAAGGGTTGTTAAAGAGTAAGCGATAAATGAAAGAGGTTAAATCACCTACCAGCATGATATTCCAAATTATTCCTGTTGCTTTCATCTGAAAAAAAAGCGTATTTACAGGGAGCATGCTCATGTTTGATTGATTTCCGGAACGCTATACGACTCTTTTGCTTGTTTTGAGTACTGTAGCTCTGATTTCTCCACACCCCCCCCCCCTAAAACTTCACGTAATTCAAACCATTTGCGAACGTTCATAAGCTCCTTGTAGGATATGATTCGCTCTATGAACAGTCTTACACTTAGAAAAATCAAATCTAAGTAAGTTTTTTATCAAGGAAGTTTCCTGAAACAAGCCAATATTGAGTTGGCCAAAGATTTCTATTACACTTCATCTCAATTCTAAAACGCTATAGCTAATTTTTAAGGTTTCGATTTGATCTCAAGAGAACTTGTTTACCACCGGATGGCAAATTTTTGAATCATGTTATTGTCTACAAATTCTTTGATTTGTTATTATGATTTCAATGCATGCTTTTTGAAGCGAGCAAGGTTTTTCGTACATTTTGTTTGTTTTGCCAAAATTTTTAGAGGAAAAACTAAAACATAGCCGACTCCTACCTTCCTACAGCAAATCGCAACATTCGCGCGTTTGCAGTAACAAATCGCTTTTTCATAAAGGAAACATCATTCCAATCTAGAGTTGGGATGCCTGGGATGTATTATATGCCTGTGCTTCAGTGTAGGAGGGAGTAAGGTTGATAATAACGAAATGAAGACCTATTAGTGTTAGTCGTATCAAGAAATTGAATCGACGGAGCGCAAAACCTTTGAAGCCAAAAAAGTATTTGCTAATCGACGGTTTTGATAGCTATATATTTGAGCAGAGCGCGAACGGCGCTTCGAATATGCCTATGATATTACGCGTAACATTGCTACCGTTTTCGCGGTTTTATTGATACTAATAATTCTTGACTGTTAGAAAACAGATGAAACAAGGAATTAACAACGATAAAACAGCAAAACAGATTTTTCCTCAAGCATCAAAACCATATTGGGTATAATCAAATTTTTGATGACCATTCAGAAAAACCCTTTTACGGTGCATCATTTCGCCCTGAAAATTTTTGAAAATAAAAAACTCATATATAGAATGAGCAATGTCACCCTAAAACAAAGTTTTCAAGTTTTATCGACCAATTTCGTGTATAAAATTATGGTTCCCCCCCCCCCCCCCCCCCCAGAAAAATGTCTACTGTTTGATTGTTGATAACTCTCGTATTATGAAGTTTTCCAAGAAAATTGAGGTCTCATTTTGTGAGCTGGCTTCAGATTTATTGTTTAGAGCGAATTGCTGTTGTCTCTTCGTTGCTGTAAGATTATGGTAGGAGCTTTGACGAGGGTTTTGCGTTATTAAGCGTCACATTTCACCCTTGAAAAAGACTGAAAAAGCTGAATACTTCTACGCTAAGTTTAAACAAAGCCGCTGATTTAGATATGAAACTAGTATTTCACCGTAACGCCTCATAAGTTATGCCAGATATTCCCTAGCAGCCGATTTCCGATACTCGTCGAAAATTTGATTGAGCCATTCAAAAAACAAACGCGCAAAAAGTTATTTAGTATGATTAGCATGCATGGAAACCTTGTTAGCCTTCAATGGTTTAGACTGCGGTAGAACTTAAAGGCAGCCACCCAGTTAAGTTAACCAGTTCTCTTTGAAGAGCAACTGCGCTGGTCCGGTCTCCCAATGTTGCTTCTGAGCGGAGAAAACCCTGATTTTTCTTTCACTCCGCCCCTTTTCTTTCACTCCGCCTCCTTCGGACGAATTCACGACAGCGTAAGCTGCAGTTGCATCTGCTGTTGCACTACAGGCTGTCATGCAGTTGCAGCCGCTCCTCGCGGGCGAGTGGAGGAACGAACACCTCAATTAAGCCCCACCTCCGCGTACTACTGGTCCTAACACGATGCACAACAGTGGGACGAAGGGACCAGCAGCCCGCGGAGGCGATGCCTAATTGAGGTATTCGTTCCTCTACTCCACGCTCATGCCAACGAGGTCGAGCAATTCGAAACTCCTCTTTCTCTGAAGAGAGGGTCCCGAAGAATCGGGGTTCTTTGAGGGTCTCGGAGAATTTCATTGTCATAACTGTGATCAGGGGCACAGAAAGGCCTCAGAATGACAAAAACATCGAAGGCGAAGTTTTGGGTGTACGCTGCCCTCAAAGAGGTTTCATGTCTACCCGAACATCTCCCTTGAAGGCAGTGTCCAGGCAAATCTGGGCGTATGAGTTTTTCGCGTGGAAAATGAGAGGGTCCAAACTAAAGTACTGTCCAAGTGGCGCGCAAATGGTCCATTCACGGCTGAGAAATCCGTCCCCAAAACCCTGCGCCTGCGTCAGACCGTAACCTGAAAACGACTTCGCTCACTCTAACACTACGTTCGCGCTAGACCCATTCTAGGTGCTACTGTCACCGGCGGAGGCGCGGATTGCTGGGAGATGGATTTCTCAGCCGAGAATGAATCATTTGCGCTGCTGTTAGGGCGTGCCTTAGTTAGGACTCCCTTATCCGTTTCCAGGCAGAAAATCCATGTGATCAGATTTGCCTGGACACTGCCTTTGAGCCCAAATATTTTTCAAGAAATCTTATTTGCTTGTGCAAGAAAAGAGTGCCAAATTATATTGAAATTTCATGAAAAAGAAGTTTCAGGACGTTCAATCTCAAACCTTGCGTAGAAATTTCCTTTCCTCAGATCATGCTCATAAAACAACAAAAATGTCGAGATAAGAAATCTATTAGGTTGTAGAAAAACGTGTAAAGATGGATGTCTATGGGACCGTCAATTGAAGCATGAATTCAAAGCGTCATCTGCAAAAAAAATCTAAAAGTTTAGGATCGGTTTTTTGCATCCCTAATGTCCCTTTTTCTGAGTAACATTGAGGTCTTCCCCTTCCGCATAAAGTAAGCCAAATTTCTGATTCTGCAAACATCGTTTGAGTAATGTCTTGCGCATCTTTTGGACTGGTCAACCAGGCTGGCGATTTTCACGGAAAAGACGTTAGTCACAAGAATTGCGTTCAAACTTTCATTCGTCGTAAGCACATCCCGATGGCAGCTTGTAGTCTTGAATCCTTTCATTATCTTATATCTACAACACTTTTACCATCCTATAAAAATCTACTGGTGGGAGACAAACGCAACACTTCCACATCATCTAAAAAATATTCTCGTCTACAGACTGTAGCGTCTAGTTGAATGCCACTTTGCCAAAAGCAGCCTTGTCTTCCATACCCGGCTTCTTCACAATTGGAGGAGATCTGAAGACAAGTGGGTGTCATCAGAGCAAAACAAAAACAGATTGTTAGTAAGTTACCTCAATGGAAGGGGTGGCTGAGGAAGTTCTCCATATTGTTCCTCGAAATATTTGTTGAAGGACTGATAAAATGCTTGTTTTCCTCCGGCAAATTCAAATTCAGTGAGGCGTCGAATGCCCAAATCGGCCAAAGTTCGTTGCCCAGTCAGAACATCATCCTTCACTTCCTGTAACTGCGATATTGAGGAACCATAGACTCAAACTCAGATTATTCTAATCGATTTTGCTAAAGAAAGAACTATAGCTAGAAAACACAGTCAAAAAACCCACAACATATTCCATCCATTCGCGATTTAGAGGGACTTTGGTCTTGAAGAAATGACCCCATTGCTCAGTTAGCCATGTGAGAATGATGAAGTACGGGTCAGGAAGCGAATGCCGTCGGTAACTATAAATTTCAAAAGGATAAAAAGATTATCAGACGACAAACCTAGAACCTACTGGAATCCAAATTCGGTAATACAGTGGGCTTTTCTATACATAAAATCCATCAATTCACTGAGTTGGTAGCAATGTGGTCCAACAAATTCGTACGTCTGACCTGCCGACGTTGGGTCTCTCACAAGAGCAGCAAGGCCCGCGGCGACGTCACCACCCTGGAGTAAGAAATTTTTTACCCCAGACATCGAAATGAACATAAACCATACAAATAAAAAATTGGGCGCTATTCCAGTATCCGGGCCCCAAAATTTTTTTGTCGTGAATTCTGTCGAAACTTGGCCCAGGGGGGTTATTCGGTCCGCTGATGTCGATTACCATATTGATTTTGTACGGCAGCGTCATTTTCTCCGGTTACGGTGGGTATACGGTAGGGGGTCAAAATCACGGAATTCGCTGAAACTTGGCCCAGAGGGGTTATCTGACATGCTGATCACGAATATCATATTTTCTCCGCAAGAAATCGCCTCCCTGTAAGGTTACGGTGGGTATACGGTAGGGGGCCAAAATCACGGATTTTGCTGAAACTTGGCCGGGGGGGGGGGGGGAGTATTCGGCCAGCTGATGCCAAATATCACATTGGTTTTAAACCATAGCGTCATTTTCTCGAGTTACGGTAGCTACACTGTAACGGGTGTAAAAAATAGTTTTGCCTGAAGCGGGTGTATGGCGATTCGGACAATCGTGAAGCTTTGCACACACGACCACCGCCGCGCGCTACACACCCTGCTGCGGCTTTTGCCTAAGCAAAGCACAGGGGAAAGATACATTTGCCAATTTGTGATTTTGACCCCTACCGTAAACCTACCGCAACCATGCAGGGAGACGTTTTCGTGCGGAGAAAGTGTGATATTTCTAATCAGCATGTTGAATAACCCCTCTGTGCGAAGTTACAGTGGTTTTTGAGATTTTGACCCCCTACCGTATACCCACCATAACCCGAGAAAATGAAGCTACCGTACAAAACCAATATGATATTCGGCATCAGCGGGCCGAATAACCCCCCTGGGCCAAGTTTCAGCGAATTCCGTGATTTTGACCCCCTACCGTATACCCACCGTAACCCGAGAAAATGACGCTACCGTACAAAACCAATATGATATTCGGCATCAGCGGGTCGAATAACCCCCATGGGCCAAGTTTCGACAGAATCCACGGCAAAAAAATTTTGGGGCCCGGATACTGGAATAGCGCCAAAAATTGCTTTCTCCTACACCCCTAGGCTACGGACTTACCCAAATTGGCATTTTATACGTGTGCTCTCCTTTCTTGTACAGATACACCAAATCGAGCGGAGTCTTCCTATATCTGCTCACATAATATGAAATGAAACCATCGAGCTCTCCATAGATCAAAGAGGGGCGAACGATGGTAGCACTGGGAAACTCGTCTCGTACAGCAAGCTCTCCCAGGCCCTACAAAGTGAATTTGAATTAAAAAAAAATAGACGTCTGATGTGTCGACTGCCAACCTTGCTGCGAAGAAAGTTCGACTGCTTGACATAATGCCCTTTGGGTGGATTCTCTGTAGCACCAAGAGCAGACATGTGAATAAATCGTTCGACGCCCATCTCTCGACAGATCTTAGCGAGCCTACGAGCTCCTTGTTCGTGTACTTCGTAGTAGCCGTACCTCCTCAAAAAAGTCGATAACAATGCATACCTGTTCAACAAGTGCTGAGATCTCCAATTTTAAGATGGGCTTAGCAAATGCGGTTCACTATATGATGAAATCTGACTTCAAAAGTAGCGTAAATTATGAAAAAGAAGCAAATGAGATAACGCTTGATGAAATGCTGAACGGAAACTCTTGTTTCCAAGCAACTCTAGTTCACAAGAAAAGGGGCATTGTTCGATGCGATCCACCGCAGAAGGCCGGTTCAAATTCGCTCAGGCGCAATCAGATACATTCTTCTCATCTGAAGCGTCCGCATTTTCGTTCCTAACGTATCTGGACCAATTTCCAGATAGGTATATACGCAGAATCCCGTGTAAATTGGTGACAGGCCGAAACTTTGGCACGAAACTGCGTGTTCGCAACGCTAGGTGCATCTGCACACAGCATTGTCAGAGAAGGGCAAAGAAAATGAGAAGAAAACGGACAGGTCTTACCACTTGAATGACTAAATGAGCAGATCTTGGGACGCAGATTATAGCGGTCGACTATTTTTAGCCTGATTTAGATCAACAGACTGTGATCCAAAAATAATTACGGTTTTGTAGATGCACCAAGTTACTCTAATTTGACGGACGGCAAAAGAAAGGATGACAAAGTATCGAAAACAACGAGTCTGTTAGCTAAACGTAAATTCTTCTTAACCAGGCACGCAAAAACGAGGTCTATGGAACGAAATGAACCGACTCTTCGTTATTAAGAAAACCTTGAATGAATGAAAATGTCGAGGAATATCAGCTACTAAGAGTTTGCGACAGGTACAATAGATGTATAACATTAGATTAAAATACACCTTTCCTAGTATATGTCTAACAGTTTACCTGGTGGACAAAATCTAGCAAATTTTCAGATGACTTACTTGGTAGGAACTCTAGTCCCAATCATGTTGATGACGATATTTGAATATCGCACCACCTAAAGAATATATGTAGCAATATAAAGTAAAAAGAAGATGCGGCATTGCTTAAAAAAAGGCGCACCTTCCTGATGCTCTGCTCATCATCGAGCTCGAAAGGGAAAAAGAGGATCTGCCCATATTCTCCAGGAATCTTATGCTCTTTCATGTAATACGGATCTTGCCTATAATATTCGGATATCATGTACTTCTAGAGTTCTATTTCAACATTTAAGTACAATCAAATCATTAAAGGCAGCGTCCAGGCAGATCTAGACCTATGGGGCTTTTTACGTGGAAAGTAATTTTGGGGCCTTGACTAAGGCATGCCCAAGCGGCAGCGCAGGTGACTCACTAACACCTGAGATATACGCCTCCAAACTGGACCCCAGGATCGTATACGCATGGAATCATGGCAGTTTCGCGCGAGGGCCCACGCGTTGCGCCATGAATCTATGCGAAGTACGATCTTGGGGTCCAGTTTCAAGGGGGATATCTCAGCCGTTAGAGCACTACCTGAGCAGCCGGTTAGGCAGTGGCTTAGTTAGGGTCCCAAAATTACTATCAACGTGAAATCCCTACGTGTCCAGACTTGCCTGGACGCTGCCTATAAGTTACATGGATACCACTGCACGAGCGTAGCACATCTTATATATAAAGCTGAATGTGTGTCTGTCTGTGTGTATGTACGTATGTGCGGAACAGAAATTTTTATTTCTGAACCGATTTGGACCAAACTTGGCACACATACACTTCGGGCCCCGGCGGGTGTCATAGGCTACTTTTTGTCATCGATCGATATCGATTTTATCGATTTTTTGCAAAATTTGAGCTACAGGGCTGGGAGGTGGCACAGAGGGGTAATCGAGCATGCTGATTACAAATATATTATTGACAGGCCCGGGCGGAGCCGAGTTTGCCAACTAGTCTATTATATTTCAAAGATAACCGTCAAAACTTTGCTGCTGTCATTGCGAGGGCACTGATAAACTAACAGTTCAAAGATTTTGTTAAACATCAAGCGTGCCTCTACCTGCTTTCAAAACCAAGAACAAAACATACAGATCAACTTTTTTGTTACACTTTCCTCTTTTCTCTACCCTCGGAGACATACGATTAACTGTGAACTTGGCACTTGTAAAGATCGGGTACGTTGGGCAATGTAAGATCACTTCAAAGTTTAGTAGCGAAAATGGATAATCTGTTGAATGATGCATCCAGTTCGTTGCAAAAAAACACGAGAGCTTACGCACAAAGTAACCATGGAAAAAGTAAGATCATCAAATGAAAAAAGTAACGAGCAGATGATACCCGCAAAATTTGCACACTCACCGATACGGAACAATGATTTGGGTCCCCATCTTTGCAAGTCTATTGATGACGGGAAGTCCCATAAAACCGGTAGCTCCGAAAACCGTCACAACATTGCCGGAAAAAGAAGCACTGTAACAATCTACTTCTACATTGAAAAGAAATTTAATTAAAAAAAACACATACCGTCCACCAGTTCCCTTCCTAAATTGTGAGGCTTGCGAGCTTACAATAGGTTGTGGAGGCTTTGCAGTCTCAGGATGAGGAGTTGTAACAGCCGAATGCGTAGACTGCGGTTGGATTTGGGCAAGAATTACCACAGCTGGACGACATGCTGTTGAGGTTGATCGACCCAACAAAGACAACATTGTCGTCTGTAAATACATAACATTCAGATCCTTCGCTAGAGAAAGCAAGCAGTGATATATCTTGTAATATCGTATCTTACAGTTCTGTAACGAAGGAACAGTTTATCAAAGCACATTGCCCTTTTCTTTAGACTAAAGCAGAATAATTAAGAAATGGATTAAACGCGACTGATCTAGCTGCGCTCCAAACGACATGTTTGAAAGATGTACTGAATTCAATCTGAATTTGAGAACCAGAGATACATACATACAAAGCTTTAATTACTTCAAAAAAAAAGCATGTCGGACGAGCAATATTCATCAGTGCTGTTCAGACGTATGTAAATGCAAAGAGGCGTGATTACACAGCGCGTATCCGTCATACGCCTAATTAGCAAGCTGCAGCTATGGTTATCAAATGTGCTTCGTAAAAACGGGCTTTCAATCACAGATTTTTACGAACACTTCGGAGGGATTGCACGATCTCCTTGAATTGCCTAAAGCTAGGGTGGTGACATTAGGATGGTCCAAGGACGGAAATTGCGTGAAAACCTTTTGACAATTTTGGTTAATAAAGAGGAGAAAGAATTAGCTCTCGCTAATACTTAAACCTTGCAAGGGTGTGGAATTTGAAGGCCAGAGGTTGACAAATTCCTTGCTTAATTAATGAGCGTTTTTGAACCTTCACGAGGTTCTACCTCGTTTAGGGAACTCGGAGATGATTTTGAAGATTTTGCTGTTTGCCTGACACCCCTCTCCTTACTTAGATACTTAGATGGCCCGTCCTCACGTGAGGTGCGGGCCCCAGTACAGAAGTTGCCATTTTTCCCTGTCCCTCGCTTCAGACATCCACGATCTTCTTGGCCGTCGTTGGTGGCTGCGTCCACGAGTTCCAGGGGCGAAAGTCGTATCCAGCTGATTTCTCAGCTGGTCCATACTTTCCACGAACACGTCTGCCCATCTCGTTGGTGGTCTTCCTCGACGACGTTTGGCTTCGCGAGGAATCCACTCAGATGTTCTTAGTGTCCATCTGTCGTCTGTTCTTCTCATTATGTGACCGGCCTATCGGTGTTTGGCTTTCGCATCGTATTCCGCTGGGTCACGAAGACGGGACATTCTTCTCATATCCGTGCTGCGAAGTCCGACTAGATGTTGCTTGCTTCGGGTCATCTTCAGAAGACTGCGCTCGAGCGTGTGGGTGGTCCGTAAGGCTTTCGACTTGGCTACAGTATCGGCCCAAGTCTCAGCTGCGTAACACAGCGCCGGGAGAACGGTTGAGTCGAACAGGTGGGCACGAAGCTCCGGGTCCGTCAGTTTGTCGGTGGCTTCCTTCAGAGGCCCGAAGGCGGCCCAGGCTGCTCTTCTTCTCCTGTTAAGTTCTTCCCTCAAGTCGTTCTCCATGTTCATCGAACGCCCCAGATACACGTAAGAAGACGTCTCCATAATAGGGGTGCCTTCCAATTCCATTTCTCTATCTTCGCAAAGGGCGTTCCTCATGAACTGAGTCTTCTTCCGATTTATTCGCAGTCCGATCTTCTTCCCTACTTCGTTCAGTTCCTTCAGCATCGTCTCTGCCTCGGTGATACTGCTCGAGAAGAGAACGATGTCGTCCGCAAAACGAAGTTTGGACAGGAATCTCCCATCAACTCGTATGCCTCTCTTGTCCCAGTCCAGTGACTTCATCACCCACTGCAAGGCCGCGGTGAACAGCTTTGGCGAGATTGTGTCACCTTGTCGGACCCCCTTCCCGATTGGTATGGTCAGGGGGCGATGGAACAGCTGTATCGTTGTTGTACAGTCCTTGTAGCAGTTGGCTAGTGTCCTCGCGTAGGCTGGGTCCACTCCTTGATCGACTAGCGCTGACAGGATGGCGTTGGTTTCGACGCTGTCGACGGCTTTCTCGTAGTCGACGAAGGTTAGGACGAGAGGCAGTCGTTACTCCCGGCAGACTTCTATGACCCTCGAAACGGTCTGGATGTGGTCCATGCAGCTGAATCCTTTGCGAAATCCAGCTTGTTCTTGGGGTTGGGCTTCATCCAGTGTCCTTGATATGCGAGCAAGGATAGTCTTCGTGAAAAGCTTGTACAGTACACTCAGCAGGCATAGGACGATAGTTCCGAAGATCCTCCCGTTCACCCTTCTTAAAGAGAAGGACGGTTCTTGACGTTCTCCACTGGTCGGAAATCTTCTCCTTCTGAAGATAAGATGTCAAATGCGACGCTAGAATCTCGTGTAGACAGTGTCCTTCGGCTCGCAGAAGTTCGACGGAAAGATGATCTGTTCCTGGAGCCGTGGACGTCTTCATGGTCTGTATCGCGATACTCACTTCAGCAGGTAGAATTCGTGGTGGTATTTCTCCAGTGGGAACAACGGGCATCTGCACGGGTGTTGATGAGCGGAAGAGGTTGGTGTAAAAGTTCTTCGCGATAGATTCCATCTTGTATCGGGAAGAAGTCGGAGTCCCGTCTTCGTTCAGTAGTGCAGCCAGCGGCACGTGATATTCGCAGAGGTCCCTTCGGCACTTCTTAGGACTTCGTCTTCTTTCGGCTGCTTTCAGTATCTTAGCTTGCCTGTACTTCCTGAGATCCTCTTGCAAAGCTGTTCTGCAACTGGCGTTGGCTATTAGTCGCTCGAGATGGGTTGCATTCGGATCCTGCCTCAGAAATCTTCTTCTTTCAAGCATTTCCTTGGTGGTCTTCGAAATGCGTTCCAAGTTCTTCTCAGAAGTCACTGAGGCGCATTCTCCACAGGCTCGCAATTCTTTCAGAAGCCGGTCATAGTCGTACGTTGGGTCCTTCTCGATGGGCCAGTCACAACTTGATATGAGCTCTTCCAGCCTGTTACCGTCATAAACGACTTCCTTCTCGCAGCACTATGACAGACTTTCTTATCCAGCCTTCGGCTGAGTCGTATCTTCGCTCGAAGGAGGCGGTGATCGGAGCCACTACAGAAGGATGGAACTACAGAGACATCGAGTAAGCTCCACCTTCGCTTGGTGAGAATGTGGTCGATCTCAGCATGAGTCGTTCCGTTGGGCGATTCCCAAGTCCACCGGCGATGTTCTTTCTTCATGAAGATGGAGTTTCCATGGAAGAGTCGTGCGGCGGAGAGAAGCCCGACGAGACGGTTGCCGTTTTCGTTTCGGAGCCCATATCCAAACTTCCCGATCCTATATTCCTTTTCTAGTGGCATCCCGATTTTCGCATTGAAGTCGCTCACAACATATTTGTAGAAGGACTTTTCGTTGCGGACAACCTCCTCCACGTCTTCGTAGAAAGCATCTAGTTCTGAGTCGTCAGCTGCTAATGTTGGCGAGTAGCAGTTGATGATGCTGATGGTCTTTTGACGTGGAGGGCGTAGTCGTAGGATGCCCAGTCGAGGTGATAGGATCTCATGCGAATCGACAAGATGGACGATAGATGGGTGGACGACAAAGCCGACGCCTCCCACGTTTGTGATGGAACCTTTTCACCACGAATGATAAAGGTCCCATCACTCATCTGTCGCACGTCCTTCTTCCTGGACTTCGTCTCCTGCAGAGCGATGGTGTGGTACTTGATGTGCTCTGCAGCGTCGAGAAGAGCGTGGAGGTCGGCGTTTGTGGAGACTGTCCTGGCGTTGTAGGTGCAGAGCATGAGGCAGTCTCCATGGCGTGTCGTCCAGGCAGACGTGTCGTTTTTGTCCAATCCAAAAGGCGCCCTTAGTACCCTGACATCGTTCTTGCTACCACCCGGTGCCGTATGCGGGATACGATGTGCAGGATTTCTTTCTAATCTTCTAATTGGAGGAGTGATATGAATTTTCCCCTACAAGAGGTGGCTTACTAGATCTCCACGGAGGCGATCGCTGACCCCGGGCTTGGAGCGGGGAGCGACCGCCTAGCGACTAGAAGAAGCCAGACGGCGGGGAATTTGGCGTGGCCGGTTCTTAGCTAGGCATCCGGCCGAAACCGGAAACGTCGAACTCCTTCACAGCTTGGGAGGCCCTACCAGAGTATACACTCGGCTGTGCATCGCAGTTCGACACCCAGTGTCACCCCCACGCCACGATGAGGCGACCGACCATTGTGGGGGACACCCCTCTCCTTCTGGAGAAAAATCCTACCGCAGCTTTTCCCTCCGCTTTGACTCCTTCCTCCCCCCCCCCTCCATAGAAATCCGACGTCTCGAACTCATTAAAGAAGTATCTGCTTCATGTAGAGGCTTGCCGGACGAAGGCGCAAAGTGGACGAGAAGCACACTGAGGGCAACTCGTAATATCTGCTTCTCTTGGAGGTACTCTCTTGTAGATGAATTTCAAAAGTCTACCACTTTTTTTATGTAAGTCGAGAGTTAGACGATTCAAAGCAGGCAGAGACAGCGCGCATCTGCGGTCGCTGGGGCGTCTCTGGATAAAACGCAATTTCATTCTTTTACCGTCTGGTGTCTCTTTCGAAAGCGAACTGCCTTGCTCCAACGACGGCGTTCAGTCCCTGCGTGCAATGACTCGCCTATGGATATGAGCCCTACATATTATATTATTTCAATTTCTTGAGTTCCGCATTCCTGATCTTTTTTACAAGAAAATGGCAGCCATGTTGTTTCAATCTTCGGGAGCTTTTGCTGTATGCTTACAAAACTTAAATCGGTGCAAAATTTTTGTTTCTTTGAACCCAAATGTAGGTTCCGTAAAGTTAAGTATATAGTCCAAGTAGTATTATAAGCAGAATTTTTTTCTTCGCAACTGTGCTCCGCGACTCATCCATTGAGCGAAAGAATAATAACCCAATTTTACAACCTTTTGCTTTCTTGCCAATCTTTCGTTATTAATTTTCGAAAAAATTCTTTTCGAGACTTAAGCTCCAATGGATACCAAATACGGACAACCTCTCGCAAATCAAATCACATATTTCCAGTTTCTTTTTGAAATTTTGCTAGATAATTACAAAACTTTAAGTTTGAGAAAAAAAGCTTAACTCGTAACTGCACACTGCAGAATCTTCAGAACATCGAGGTTTCAAAACTCAACTATCACTATCGCATGAAGTGAATGAGCTCTTACCGCTTCAAATTGTGGAGATTTTCAAAATTCAGCTTAGCAACTCGAAAATAAAAAAATTAAAAACACTGCACCTGTATGGTTGAGTGATACAGCGATAATTTCGTGCATCGCTGTATCTCAAAGAGAAAATGGGTGTTTAGAAAGAGAAGAAAAGGTTGCATCAAAAATCTGTACCTGAACTATTCCCCAACTATGTCCAAGGTCGTTAGTGTAGTATACTTGGGTAATTCGAAAATTTTTCATCGAATGAATGAATATCGAATAAATTCGAAAACGAAAAATTTCATAAACGAATATCGAACAAATTTGAAAATAAGAAGTCTCGAATAAACGAATATCGAATAAATTCGAGGTTCAAAAATTCTCGAATGAATGAATTTCGAATAAATTCGGAAAATCAAAATTGTCGAATGAATGAATATCGAATATATTCGAACACTGGAAGTCGGATTTCGAACGAATATTCGAATGATTTATCGAATAACTAAAGCAGCCATATCTCAAACTTGCCGACATACCTGGCTAAAGCCTAACCATTCATATTCAGCACCTTTGTATCCCCTTTACCAACTCCTACCTCAAAAATTTTCAAAAATCGCTCGATAAAATAGACTTTGGTTTTAATCAGCATCCTCACTGACCCCCTGCACCAACTCCCAACCTCGTAGCTCGAGATTTTCCAAAAATCGACAAAATCGATAAAGTAAATTTTTATTCATAATCAGCAGCCTCACTTACCCCCTTGTACCAACTCCCAACCCCGCAGCTCAAACTTCTCCAGAAATCGTTGAAGTTGGTCGGTTGGCACCTAGTCTATACATCAGCAAGAAGTCATATTTCACCCATTATTGGACGATCTAAAAAAGCAGTCGCTATAAATTTTGTCCAAAATTTATTCTAGAAGTACAGAACAGGGTCAAGTGTGGGGTGTGGCACGCCACACCTGGGGGGGGGAGTCGTATTGAGGAGTCAAAAGGGGAGGGGGGTCGCAGTTGAGTGATCTGATAATAGTGCTAACATGATATTCGTATCATATCCATAATTAGCATGTCAAACAACTCCTGTAGACAAAGTTCGAGCGAATTCTGAAGATTCAAGATACTAGGCTAGCTAAGTGAAATGCATATTCCAACATGATTAACTTTGTTTCAAAAGTGAATTAGCTATCCGTTTTTGCACTCATGACAAAGCACTACTCCATCCTTGTTCATCTCACAAGGAGAGGATACTTAATCGAAAGCACCAATCCAGATGAGACATACATCATCTTAAAGCGCTTGAAACGCTGATTCCAAATCTGCAGTTTCTTGCTGCGGAGCGGTTTTGTAGAAGGAGTTATGAAGGGTGTTCCCCTCTGGGGTTTAGGCGCCCTCCAGCGGTCTCCCCTTATCTGTAAGCACTGTAGAGGAGTATCAGCTGATGGCAACTGACCTAATGGTGTAACTTGAATGAAGATTACAGTAAAGATTATAATACTCATATTACTTTGGTTTTCTTAACACTTCTAACTTCGATTAGTATCAATATCATCAGAAGTTTTGTGCTTTAGGGCTCTAAAGCCATTTAGAAGTTCAATTTGGCATGCGAAGGGGATTAAATCCTTGACACTCTCTTTATCAAGCACGTCACTTACCACTAGGTCAGTTGCCACCAGTTGGTACTCCTCTACAGTGCTCATAGGTAGGGGGTGACCTGGTGGAGGGCGCCTCAATCCCAGATGAAACACCCCTCATAACTCCCTCTACAAAACCGCTCCGCAGCTAGAAACTGCAGATTTAGAATCAGCGTTTCAAGCGCTTTAAGATGATAAATGTCTCATCTGGATTGGTGCTTTCGACTAAGTATCCTCTCCTTGTCAGAAACCCCGCTTCAAAAGACCTCCACACTATGGAATTGGAAGCCAACCAAAATCTCATTTTTCCCATTTTTCGCTTTTGATGGCTTTGCTTTCATCACAGCCACAACCAGCTTTTAAGGGGGTGTGCCACACCCCATTAACTGTGTCATAAAAACATTTTTAGTGGACACTATATACATGAATCGATAGTCTAAACCTCGTAGATTCCATAGGAGTCTTAAGCCTGATTCGTCTTCTTAGCTCTGAGTAATAATTGGTGAAAGCACAGCCATTAAAAGCGAAAAATGGGAAAAATGAGATTTTGGTTGGCTTCCAATTCCACAGTTTGGAGGTCTTCTGAAGCGGGATTTCTGAGATGAACAAGGATGGAGTAGTGCTTTGTCTTGAGTGCAAAAACGGATAACTAATTCACCTTTGAAACAAAGTTAATCATGTTGGAATATGACCATTTCACTTATGTAGCCTAGTGTCTTGAATCTTCAGAATTCGCTCAAACTTTGTCTACGGGGGTTAATTGACATGCTCATTATGGATGTGTTGCCATTAGGCTGCGTTCATACTGATTCCCATGTTCTGGAACTGTTCCCGCACAGTTCCCGCACAGTTTCAGCACAATGCGAGAACTGTGCGGGAACAGTTCCAGAACATGGGATTCAGTATGAACGCAGCCTTATGTTTGACGGGGCCTTCAGGTAATGCTATCTTAGGTGTATAATTCAGGAGGGGGGGGGGGGCGTAAGCAGTGATCGTGTGCCACATCCCTTGCTTGACCCTGGTACAGAATGCAGGACATTTATAATCTTACTAAGTTGTATACGCCAAACATTTGTGGTAAGCTGGCTTTATATTTGAAGACATCTCGTAACTGGCAAGTCGCGTACGGCGATCTGAACCGTCTAATCCTCCACTACAACTGCGATGTTCTTTACTCAAAATACACCAATTAGCAAAAAATCTCCAAGGTAGCGAATAAAGGCAGTTGTGTAATATAACTTATGCGAGCAAGAGTACTCACTAGTGTGGACTTTGCATACCACAAGCACGAGCAATGCAAGGAAAGAAAAACAGGCATTTCAAAACACTTTCTATATATGAACTCGGGACATGAGCTTTGAATATTGCTTCTTTGCTGATTTGGTGCTAATATTAGGTTGTCATGAAAATAATGTCCGTTTTTATTTGCTTGCTTTAACAAAGCAACCAGACTCAACCCAACAAAGGGTAATGGATATTGTTCGATAGAGCAAAGCAAGCTCTACAAGATGGCACTCATGGCTTTGCGCCATGCTCGATCCATGGAGAGTTCGAACTCAAAATCTAAAGATTTCCAAATGCCCAAAAAATCGAAAAAAATCAGATCTTCGTCCAAATAATTTCTACGGACCTCCCACTCGCTCACATCAATACTATCGATATCTGATATCCATATGTGCGATTGCCGTATTTTTTCCTTGACTAGAAACTGAGAAAACGAAAATTTCCCTGATTTTCTCAAAGCAATGCTGAGCCGTTTTTGCATATGTAGTTTTATACTACAAGCCTAGGTAAGCATAACTGTAGAGTTTTAGCCCATTCCAAGCGGTAGTTTTCGAAAAATAACGAATTCGGATTTTTTCGTTTCAGGTTCAGTGCTAAAACCGACATTTCTCGAAAAGTACCTCTCGAAATAGGCTGAAAACCTACAGTTATGCTTACCTAGGCTTGTAGTATAGAACTACATATGCAAAAACGGCTCAGCATTGCTTTGAGAAAATCAGGAAAATTCTCGTTTTCTCAGTTTCTAGTCAAGGAAAAAATACGGCGATCGCACATATGGATATCAGATATCGATAGTATTGATGTGAGCGAGTGGGAGGTCCGTAGAAATTATTTGGACGAAGATCTGATTTTTTTCGATTTTTTGGGCATTTGGATATCTTTAGATTTTGAGTTCGAACTCTCCATGGATCGAGCATGGCGCAAAGCCATGAGTGCCATCTTATAGAGCTTGCTTTGCTCTATCGAACAATATCCATTACCCTTTGTTGGGTTGAGTTGGTTGCTTTGTTAAAGCAAGCAAATAAAAACGGACATTATTTTCTTGACAACCTAATAGCAGTGACAATCTCATTGATCTAAAAAGCATTGCTTAAAATCCACAAGTGATTTTTTAACTGTCGCAAGCAGTCGAAAGAATGCGACTCTCCATACAGTTCAGAGGTCATAACGGTGCAAAAGATGCATTACCGAGTTTTTCGGAAAAAAACCGGACGAAGTGAGCTTGATATTCAGATCTGAATATGGGGTTCATTCGAATACGACTTCGAATAAACATTCGAAAAAAACATTCGAATAAAATCTATTCGAAACCCCGTTTTTTGATTACTCGAGTTTTCGAATAATATTCGAATCCTCTCTCTTTGATTATTCGAGTTTTCGAATTTGATTCGAAACCCTGTTTTTCGATTATTCGAGTTTCGAATATTACTCGAAAATGGAGGAACTCCGAATATCGAATTTTGAATACGAATATATTCGAATGTTTTATTCGAATGATCGAATTTCTATTCGATTCGGACCCAAGTATATAGTGTTGACCGAATGGTAGCTTTGATTGAACTTTTTACTTTGGAGAACACGACAGAAGACAAAAAAACTGCATCAATTTTGCAATAATTCTGTCTTTCTCCAGGCTAGTAGAGCTCTTTCAAGTGTTTCAAAATTCAGCCTTGCTAAAAATGGATATACAAACACTGCTAACTGCTTAAAAGCAAGAGAAAGCGTCCTTCCAATTTTGACCCCTCAAGCGGCTGGTGACGGTTGGTAAAGGCAGTCCGGAAAACAATATTGCGACTGTAAATCAACTCAAATATAATTTTGGATTTTTTCTGAGTGTTGTTCGACATTCTGAATCAACAAAGAAAAACTCGTTTTACAAGTCACCTAGCTTTTCCACGCAGTCTGAAACACGTAGATACAGATAAATGAGCTGAAGCGAATGCAAAACTTCATTATGGCGCGGCAATGACTGCGCGGAGGTTTCGCAAAAGAGGCGAAGTTACCTCCTACTTCGTAATTGCTTTCTTTATCGGTTTCAGCGCTGGTCTTATTGTGCTTATAGTGCAGGTGAGTAGTATTTGCTTACTAAAAGGGGAGCTATATTGCACTCAAAAGGAGTGCGAGGACATTTTTGAGTATGCGAAGTTCCTACGTGGAAACTGATTGAGAAAAAATGGTTGAAAATTGCTCCAGCAGTAGTTCGTATGATCGTGGCCAAATAGTTCAACTTTTAACTCTGAAACTCCAAATTGAACTTTCAGTAGTCAGGATGCTGACTGGTGGGCTTGGAAAAATACTGTCTGAGTTGAAATTGCAAGGCAAATCTTAAAGGCAGCGGCTCGGCAGATTGACCTACCTCAGATTTTGACACAGATGGATAGGAGGCCCTCCAAGTGAACCAAAACAGCAACTCCGCGCCGAAAATGTGAACTCTGCAAGCCAGGGGGAAGCCCAAGCGCCGCTCCCCTTCCTCCTTTCGCTCCCCTAACACCTTGATCGGAGGAGTATTCTCCGCTAGACGGCGCGGGACCCCCAACCGCTTCCCCGCCCTGTGCATGCTATACAAAGCCAAAATTACAGGCAGCGGGGTCTTGTGTCAGGGCCTCCCGACTTTCCTTTGAAAATTCTCGTCCGAGCTGCCTTTTGGAAATTGAAAAAACTGCCCCGAAAAAGGCCTTTTCACCCCTTTTGAAGCTCAGATTCGGGATATACGGGTCGGGAAGGCTCAAAGCATGCAAAAAGATGGAAATACAAAATTTGCCTGGACGCTGCCTTTAAGCACGATGAAGTTATACGGGCTTTTGCTTTGGCAATTCTCACAAATCCAAAACCGAATCTGCTTAAAAAATGCAAATACACAGCTTTGCCCGGGCACCACCGTCAGCTCATTAAAATGAAACATCTGTTCTGCAGAGTGAGCCGTCGTATGTGTTTAAACCTCCTAACAATCTTTCAATGTACGCGGAGGGACTTCACGCTAGAAGCCGTATGTCCAGTTCTTCGGAAAAAATTCGAATGTATATATGTTGAATATTTAGCCGCTGGCCTTCTACAACAGCTCGTAAATCTACACTGCGTTCTCGTTATAACAAAGAAAGAGAAAGATCCTTCGACAGAGGTGAATGAAGCAAGGATGGTGAGTCAAGAACGATAGGTAAAGTTTTGACGGCTTTCCAAACAAACGATTCTACTCTTCTTCTTTTTCAAAAAAAACCAGATGTCACCCTTGGTCAGGCTCTATCGCAACATGTTCTACATGTGTTGTGCAGTCTGTGTCAACCACGTGATCCTTTTCTGTGCCAACTACGCATCCGCAGCGCATGGGCGTCGCGCATGAGATGATTGGACAGGAGCATATCCGTTGTTGACCCAAACTCTATTGTGACATTGTCGGTTAAGCTTTGCTGCAGGATAAACGCTGGCTACAAAGAGGCGAAGCGGTCGCGAACGCGGTTCTACTGCCTGTAAAGCAAATGACGAGCACAGCAATCCGCCGGCAAGCCACGTTTACGTTCTCTTCAATTCTTGAGCCGTCCGCCTTTATCTTGCATAAACACTGCACGCGTTGCTCAGTGAAGTTATACAGAAACCACATCATTGTAGACCTGGGCAAGCAGATGCAATTCGTTTTCGGTCACAAATTCAAGCACCGCAAAGCCTTGGATGAGTTCAGTTCTTGAATCACTCACCTATTACGGGGAGGTAGTCTGTGTTATTCGTTTTTTTCTCAAATAAATACTCGACGAAGTGCTTCTCTTAAGGCTGACTGGTTCTTACTAACCGAAGATATGACCTACGTCATACCCGAAAATGTGCGACTGTTCCTTTTGCCGTTTGCGATGGATAGCGCGAAGGTAAGCAATCGTTTGTGGGCCGCCGACCACGACAACAAAAATGTTTGTAGGATAGTATATGAAAACCTGGTACGCAAGTAGGGTCCCTTAAATTTATAAAGACAAGGATCCCAAGAAAACCTGACAGTACAGAGTCTGCCCCAATCCCAATCAGGCTAAAACAGAATTGGCATGGCGGGAGTCCGCGTAACTAAGCTTTGCGTCACGCCTAGAGCCTGCTTGCCTGCTCCCTCTTCGATCTCTTCGGTCTCTCCGTCAGCGCGCGTACGCAGCGCAGACTACTGGCGCTGCGTGCGCAAATCCAGCAAACGGTTCGGACTATACCAATCTAGGCGGCGCCCGCATGACGCGACCATCATTTCTTAGAGTAAGGAGAACATATCTGTTGAATTAGTGGGCTAAGCTTGCTTGTCTTCTAAATTTGGATTCAGTATGGCTGCTTATGGCTACTGGAGACACCGTCTATGATTGGCTATTTGTTGTTCTGTTTTTGCTTTTTTTTGAACTAACCACATTCGTCAGGAGCATCTATGAATGCACAAAATAAATAAATAAATAAATAAAATATCGTCCCTGTAGCTCTCTAGGAGCACACACTCACTCTTTAATTGCTCTTTCATCCCTCTTTTTCCTGGGCATTTGAACAATAGCAACTTTTGGCAACCACTGTGATTCCGAGATAGCGGAAAAAGGAAGTTGCCTATTAATTACTTTCCTCAATGCCCTTTGGTTTGGTAATATCGAAAAAATTGGTTTTTCGATCCGACTTCTTATGGCGCTAATCGAATTTTTTGCGATATTTGCGCGAGCGTTTCAAAGTGCATCTGAAAGCTGTAAAATGCAGTAATTTAAATAAATTGATTTGCCTAGTAATTCTGTAAAAGTGATCGACAAAAAGTTAAATTTTGAAAGCTTTGCTGTCTTTTACGTCTACAAATTTTCTGCGAATAATGTGGCCATTCGTCGAATAACTGCTGCGTCCCAACAAGAGATGATAAGAAAGAACTGATTTTGTGTTCTTTGTTCACTTTAATAATGCAGAGCTTCATTAGTGCTGTAATCTGTAATATATAACTCTTTTACTTTTGAACTTTCAAATTAATAACTAACCCCAAGGTTATCTGCAAGCTATGCCATGTAGTCTCATAGTTCCTTCTGCCACTTCTAGTGCAAATTTTCTCACAATCAGCGACGCTACTTTTGACTGATTTTAGGCTCTAGTTTTTGGCAGTAAAACTGAGGATAGTATTTGGCCGTGTGTGCTGTTGTCAAAGGGAGCAGTGAGACGGTTTGTTCATTTAAAAAATTGTACTTTTTGCGAAAGTTTTAGTATGGCATTCAAGGATGGGACAAGAGCTGCGGCATACTCAAGTATGCGGAAGTAATAGTGACACATCAGTAAAATCTCTTCTGCTGTGCTTACGGTATTTTAAAATGGAAATTCTCGACACAAGAGATCGTCTGGGAAGGCACAGGTTTGTCCCTATAGAATAGACTGTGATTTTCTCATAAAATTATTTGTGAGCAAAATCTCGTGATCTTCCGTTCAGGATCATTCCATATCCTCCTAGTGAACTTTTGGATGAAAAAACTGCAATGGCCAGCGAATACTCTCATCTAGTCTACCCAATCTTATCCGGTGAGCTGAAATCGTACAAATTTGCCTAACTTGCAAAAATCTGAAGCTTACTGCAGGCCAAAGATGTTGTTCTCCGTCCGCTTTTGCTATATCAAATCTCAACGTCTACTATTATAGGTTTTTCCACTATATGATTCAAATTGTGTGTCTACAATCTTGGGTAAATGTTGCAACCTAGGGTGAGTTTTCAGGTACACACACAAGGAGCTGAGTTCAACTACAGTCGAATGTCTACAGAAATAGAAGTGGCTAAAGCTTTCGACAAATCAATAAGGAATCTATCTCCTACGTTACCCAGAAGTCTATTTTTATAATGCTGATTGCTAATTGCTAGTTGACAATTTTAAGACGTAGTAATCTACAAATTGTTGTCTTTTTTCAGATTTGGATTTCTAGAGTAAAGGTTTGATGATCCGTACTGCGAAGTTTAAAAAGATGGCGCCTTCAGAAATACTGCGTGGAAGCTCTATACACACATGCACACAATACACACATACACACATATACATATGATTGCGCCTTCGTCATGCAGCAGCCTATATGTTCTGTTGTTTCAAACTCTTGTTTTTTTGCTAGTTTTTGCCCGAGGGAAAACTTCTCAGAATTCCGCAGGGTCATATTGGATTTCGTTTCGAAAAATCCTCCAAGCCAACGCATGACTGTCCTGCTCCCATTCGAGGCCATGTCGCACCATACAAATAGTGCAGTACCCTTACGCTAGCCTACGCGTGTTTCGACGGCTCCATTGTCGGTCCTGTCACAGCTTGATTATTGCTTTGGTTCGCTTTAAGAGAATTTTGAACGCATTCTATTTATAAGTTTCGTCTACCCAAAATTATCTACTATAAATCATCTGATCTGTCAGGGCTACTTCGACTTACTCAATTTACTCATGTTCATGTGAATCACGCATGTTGATATTGAAGTAAAATTTTGGCGTACTTTCACCACTGGTATATGTAAGCTAGTCGAATGCTTGGAAAAGTTGAAGATTGCTTTCCAAGTGTCAGGTGTGGTAACCAAAGACAGCGATAATCAAGACAACTTTGATATTGATGAGCTGATTACGAACGGCACTAGTTTGAAGTTGAAGATAGACTGCATCTAACCTCCTCAAATCTCCTTACCTTGTTAAAGGACATCAAAATCTGCAGGATCACATTGCTTTATTTTGGCATCACTTGCACATTTGCTTTCTTGGATTTGCCCGGCATTAGCTAACTTTTAAGGTTTTTTCATAGCAGATCAGTGATGTAATCCTCTTTGACTTTACGAAGTACTTTTTGACTCTTCGAGAGCTCCTATCAAATTCATCTTGAAGTTTTCACATGTAGTGTAAATATTAGACAAAACGAATGAATGAGGTCTTTATTTCTTTGACAAATCCAACATTATCATAGAACGATGAATATGAGGCTATGGGAATGAAAACAAGGCATGGGATTCGAATTTGAGGCGGATATTTGGAACTTGTTGTACGATTTGAAGATATAAAAGCAATATTCTGACTTAGTCCTTTCATTGCAAGATAGGTCACCACTTGAAGAAAAATCTATGCCAAAAATTCAAAAAGTGAGCTTTTCATTTTCGTGCTCCAAGAAGTTCTGCCATATTATTTAGTTTAGAACACAAAGACGTCTCACTTCTTAAACGTCTCCATTTTTTGTATAATATGAACAAATGTTTTTTTTGCTTTGGCATCACTTTCATATTCCGCTCTTGTTTGTGTTTTTATGTTTTTTTGCAGCAAAAAACAAAGCACAGTTTGACCTCAGCACATCTGCGCTGGGCCCTGTATGCTACTCCTTTATCTCCCGTTGCAGCGGAAATCATATAAGCTCCAGACTGGCTTTTAACTGACTACAAAAAGCTATCTATATAAGTGCTGGATTTATTGATTTTCAAGGGCCTCGAGGTTGTATGAATTGTCTCGCATGTGAAAAAAAAGTACATGGTACCGTTTATTCTATGACAAGTGGACAATATGTAAAGCTTGATTTTCTGTCACCATAAGCGTCATCATTTATATAAAAGGGTATGCGAGTGCTTGGTGTAAGTTCGACGATGGAATTATTGAAGTTGTGACCTATTTTGGGCGAGTATGTAACAATGCAATGAGAGATTTTTGAGTGGAAGTTGCAGTAATTTTAACACGTTTCGGACCGCGAAATCGCGCGCGGCGAAAAAGAGGGTACTTTCAGCCGTCAGCCAACAAAGAGACCTTAATTCGTATACCGTGTGCTACATCTGTAATCAGCATGTCAGATAAGGTTCATACCCAAAGTTCTGAGTGAATTCGAAGTGTTTGATTTTTGTCGCCTGAGAAGGACTTCTGTGCTTTTCTGAAAGATAGGAACAAGAGCTCAGTTTCTAATTGTATCCAGAAGTATATATGTTGCACACGATACACATTAGTATCAAAACTACGGTTTTTCTCTTTGATATCGAAGCAGAGGAAACTTGCGACGTCGCACGCGTCGTTCGCGTCTCCGCACACGTTGCAACTGTTGTTCGAATTGCCCTCATATCTTCTAAACAAATATCGGCAGTACAGCCTCACAGAGTCGCTTGAAAAGGGAGAGCTTAGGCCTTTGATTTGATGACCTTGAACAGAAAGAAAACCTCCTTTAAACACTAAAAAGATCCTTGGAAGGCGCATGCTGCACATTGCCACCGGCCAAGTGCGGACGCTTGACCAGAGGTGCGATAGTCGGAGCCGATTCTCCGCCTACCTTCACTTTTGAGCTGGCACAGGGTGACCACCTTCACTTTTGGGTTTGAAAATTTTTTTTGCTAGAGCTTAAAAGAAGGAAAGCAAAAGGAATGTAAAAGAAAGTATCAAGAGCATATATCTATGTAGTAGGTCGATCCAGGCAGTAACCGCCGAGAACCAGAATTTCGAATGATAAAATAATGAAAAATCGTGAAAAATCTTCCACTGTTACAAATCTGCTGGCTGAAGATCTCCACAGTTGCGACTTCATAGGTTTTGAAGGGTAAGTGTTGTTCTACCAGAGAGTGAAAGAATCAGTTTAATTTAAGGAGTGATCGACGAGAACGAGAATTTTGAAAAACCTTATAAATCTTCTCAATTTTAGGTTGCTTAATGACAACTGACATTTAAACTCTTATAAATCCGGACTTTGAAGGTGTGTGATGTTGCGACTTCATAGGTTTTGTAGGGTGAGGTTTGCCTTATCAGAATATGTCTTACACGTATCAATCCATTAAGATACTGCCGAGATCCAGGCTCTTGAAGAAGCAGGTAAAAAACCGTTTTTCAGCTCATAACTTCTTCAGAACTGCATGAATCATGTTGAGACTTCATAGGTTAGATTTTCCTCATCAAGAGCTTTCAAATAATATATAATATGGGGGGGGGGGGGGGGGGGGATTCACGCCTCCCACGGCATATGCCCGGGGGTGGAGTACTTCTTTTCACTAATTCTCCACTGGCGGCTCCCGCCAATACATTGAAATGGGCGGGGTGGAGAATTAGTGAAGAGGAGTACTCCACCCCGGGTCGGAGCCGCAAGAAACATTGAATCTCCCACATATTATAAATCGTCTGAAAGCTCTTGAAGAGGAGAATCTAACCTATGAAGTCGCAACATGATTCATGCAGTTCTGAAGAAGTTATGAGCTGAAAAACTGTTTTTTACCTGCTTCTTCAAGAGCCTGGATCTCGGCAGTATCTCAATGGATTGGTACGTGTAAGACATATTCTGATAAGGCAAACCTCACCCTACAAAACCTATGAAGTCGCAACATCACACACCTTCAAAGTCCGGATTTATAAGAGTTTAAATGTCAGTTGTCATTAAGCAACCTAAAATTGAGAAGATTTATAAGGTTTTTCAAAATTCTCGTTCTCGTCGATCACTCCTTAAATCAAACTGATTCTTTCACTCTCTGGTAGAACAACACTTACCCTTTAAAACCTATGAAGTCGCAACTGCGGAGATCTTCAGCCAGCAGATTTGTAACAGTGGAATTATTTTTCCCGATTTTTCATTATTTTATCATTCGAAATTCTGGTTCTCGGCGGTTACTGCCTGGATCGACCTACTTTCTTCGCAGTACGTTATAACAAAATTTATTCAATAAAGTCCGTTCAGTTTCGCTAAATTTTACTCCTAAATACACCATTTGATAAGCACGTTTATTTTAGATATTTATGCCGCTGTTTCATAAAAATATGCTTTATAATCTCTTTTGCATTTGTTTTGCTTATTTTCCGCGCACTTGTGGTAACGACCTGGAAGGATAGGCTCAGTCGACGTTAACGCTCCCTCCCCCCTCCTTCCCCCCCCCCGGTCGACGTTTTTGGGAGGTGAATGTCCGGCACTACCACCTTTACTTTTGGCCGGCCAGTGGTAGCTGGAACCACCTTCACTTTTGAGGGACCCGGCTCCACCTGTCGCACCTCTGCGCTTGACTTGAAACCGAAAGATCGCTCCGGAAGCTGGGAGCGTGAATTTACAATGGGTAGCACACCCCCGCCCACCTGCTAATTCCACTCCTGTATTAGAGCCTTTTATCGCCGTTTTCGCGCTCTCTAGGTGTGATTTTCGGATTCAGCATAGGAATAGGCCCGACTAAGTACAAAATCTTAAAATCGACTTTTTATCCGGACGCTGCCTTCAGACATCCACCAAAGAACTGCCGAAGGCATCTACCACAGAAGTGTCCGTGTTCTTAACATGTTTCGGACCGGTGCTGCACATGGTGCAGCACGCGCCTTCCAAGGATCTTTTTAGTGTTTAAAGGAGGTTTTCTTTCTGTTCAAGGTCATCAAATCAAAGGCCTAAGCTCCCCCTTTGTCAGTCAGGGCGGCTAGCGAAAGCAAGAAGATTTCTCCAGAAGCTGGGAGCGTGAAATACGATGGGGAAGACCTCGCCCACCTGCTAATTACTCTTTCTCTGTTAGAGCCTTTTTTCGCCGTTTTCGCGCTCTCCAGGTGTGTGATTTTCGGTTTCAGCATAGCGAATAGACCCGTCTAAGCACAAAATCTTAAAATCGACTTTTTGCCCGGACACTGCTTATGACCTTAACGGTCGGGTCAAACCTTGTGGCGTACGCCGAAACTCAGCAGATCTAGCTTACTCGCGTAAACTGGACACGCTAACGTCTGTGTTATGTTCGTAGTAATACGATTTTTGTTGAGACCACGTACGGATAGCCTTATTACTGCGCGTTTTGAGGATTGACAGGCTTTCCAGTGCATATTGCTGCAAAATCTG